GTGTACACACACACACACACAGCAAAATAATTCACCAATATGATAAACAGATGACAAAGAACTACAAAGATATTCAACATCATTTATTATTAGGGGACTGAAATTTTAAGAACCAGTATGCACAGCTATTCAGGAAGTATAGACTGAGAGAACTGTCATTTGAGGCCAGTGAGCGCATTATCAATATCCCACCTCAATCATTAAATATAAACTAGACATAAGGTGAAAGCCTGGCATCACAACCAAGCAGGAGACATAACTAGGAGGATCACAGTCCAGGCCTTCCAATGCAAAAAAGGGAGACCCTATCAAAAAATAATTGAAGCAAAAATGGCTGAGACATGGCTCAAGTGGTAGAGGACCTGTCTAGCAAGTATGAGGCCTCATACTGCCACTGCCAGAAAGAAACAAATATCTAAAATCAATATCCTAGCAAGGATGTGGAACAACAGCAAATCTCATTCATTGCTGGTGGAAATGCTCAACAGTACAGAAGCTATGAAAAACCGTACATTTCTCATGAAACTATATACTCATCATTAAATCCAGCTATCATGCTCCTTGATATTTACTCAAATAGGCTGAAGGCACATCTGCACACAACTTGCTCACAAGAATCTGAAGGCACTACTACAAAAAAGGTTTATCAAAAGATATTTAATGTCACTAACCATTACAGAAATGTAAACAAATCTACAATGAGAAAGCCCAGCATGGTGGCACATGTCTGTAATCCTAGCACAAGGACACTGAAGTATCCTGAGTTCAAAGCCAGCCTAGGCTATCTCAAAAACAAAACAAACCTTTTAATGATAGAGTTCCTGAAACCCAGTAAGATGGCTACTATTAAAAAAAATCCTATCAAGTCCCTTAGTTCAAACACCAGTATCAGTAAAAAAAAAAGAAAGAAAGAAAGAGAAAGAAAAATGTGGCAAGGGTGTAAAGAAATGTAAGCCTTTTTGCACTTTGGGTGGAAGTATAAAACAGTAAAAGCTGCTATAGAAAAAAAATTAAGAGCCGGCACCTGTGGCTCACACCTATAATCCTAGCTTCTCAGGAAGCTGAGATCTGAGGATCATTGTTCAAAGCCAGCCCGGGCAGAAAAGTCTGTGAGACTCTTATCTCCAATTAACCACTAGAAAACTGGAAGTGGTGCTGTGGCTCAAGCAGTGGAGCGCTCACCTTGAGCTGAAGAGAGCAGGGATAGCATAGCCCCCAAGCCCAAACAGAGTTCAAGCCCCACGACTGACAAAAAAGAAAAAAAATTAAGAACAGAGCTATCATATAATCCCGCAATTTCACTTCTGAAAACAAGATCTTAAACAGGTACTTGTACATCCATGTTTACAGTATAACATATGAAGGCAAGATAATATTCAGACAAAAAAAGGATATATATATATATAGATAGACAGATAGATATAGATATAGTGTCCCAATAATGCCAGCAGGGGAGAGTATAAAGCCTCTGATAGAAGATCAAAAGTTTGGGGCGGCTTAGGCTACAAAGCAATATCTGTCTCAAACAGATTAAGAAGTTAAAATTTTAATAAGAAACTAACAAAGATTATAGTACTTCCTATGAATAATAAGGACACAAACCTATAATTAAGAACCAAAATTCTGTACATTGAAAACAAAGTACTGTTTCCACTGATGACTATCAAAAAGGATTATGATGTAAGTCACAAAGAAATTCAATGAATTTGAAAGATCTGGTTACTGATCAAAAATGGAAGATACAGGAGAGACTAGAACTATCTCAAATAGAACAAAATTCAAATCTCTGAAATGAAGTAGTAGTGAAATTCAATTCTGATCAAAGAAAACCATCAGTGTTTCCTAAGGAGGTTGGGGGAGGGAGGCTATTTTTACCTTCTTTGCTCTGCAAAGGAAAAAAAAATACTACAAGAATTCAGAAGCACAATTTCCAAGTAACTTAACACCCTCCCTCTGATTAGTCTGGAAATTAGTTAACCCTCTAACTGGAGGAGCTTTTGCAAACAAATTAGTCAACATCTTGAACACTTGAACATGGTCTAGTTTTAAACAAAAACAGAAAAGTCAGATAGCAAAAAGCAGCACATACCTGAACACACTACCTACTTATTTTATCCTTGGCTACTTACACAAATTCTCAAGTTTTAGAAAGTATAATTGGAAGTTTATATCCTTAACTACCAGTGCAAATTCTAAATTCTCCCTCTTAAAATATTTAACTGAAAAAGAGCTACAAACTACTGTTAACCATGTCTACTTGGAAATCTGCCTATCTTAAAGTTCAGAGAAGCTAGATGCTGGAGGCTGATGCCTATAATCCTAGCTACTCGGGAGTCAGAGATCTGAGGATCTGGTTCAAAAGCCAGCCCAGGCAGTGAAGTCCGTGAGACTCTTACCTCCAATTAAATATCAACTAAAAAGCTAGAAGTGTCACTGTGGCTTAAGTTGTAGGGGACTAGTCTTGCGCAAAAAGGAGTTCAGGGATAGTGCCCAAGCCCAGAGTTCAAGCCCTAGGACTGGCCAAAAAAAAAAGAGCTGGGTGCAGGTGGCTCACGCCTATAATCCTAACTACTCAGGAGGCTGAGATCTAAGGAACACGGTTCAAAGCCAACCTGAGCAGGAAACTCTGTGACTCTTCAATAAACCACTAGAAAACCGGAAGTGGCAATGTGGCTCAAGCCGTAGAGCGCTAGCCTTGAGCTGAAGAGCCGCAGGGACAGTGCCCTAGCCCAGAGTTCAAGCCTCATGACGGACAAAAAAAAAAAAAAAGGATCTGAGAAATCACAGAAAACTCATTCATTTGCTTACTAGATATAGACAAGCTTACTGATACTTAATGAACTCGGGTTTGCAGTGTAATAAATGTCACAAACCAAAATAACTCGCTGAATACGGTAAACCTGGAATCCAGGCCCAAAGATAAGACACTGGGGAACTTTTCTTAATAAAAACATCTGTTTTCCAGGCACAAGTACAAACCTGTAATCCCAGCCAGTTGGGAGGCTGATGCAGAAGGATCTCTTGAGCCCAGGAATTTTGATACCATCCTGGGCATCATGGGGAGAGCAGGTCTCAAAGTGAAAAAAAAAAAGAGAGAGAGAAAAATCTTATAGAAAGTAGCTGCAGAGGGGCTGGGAAGGTGGCTCAGTAGTAGAGTGCTTGCCTTGCATGCCTGAGGCCCTGGGTTCGATTCCTCAGCACCACATAAGCAAAAAGAAAAAAGCCGGAAGTGGTGCTGTGGCTCAAGTGGTAGAGCCTTGAGCTGAAGAGCTGGGGGACAGCGCCCAGGCCCAGAGTTCAGGCCCCATGACTGTACCCGCCCCCCAAAAAAGAAAAAAAAGTAGCTGCAGAAGTTGCTATCAACAGACCTTTTCATATTCCAATATTTCTACACCTTAATCTCTCAGCACAAGGTATTTCATTAAGGACAAATGATAACACCAAATGATGACAGTATTGAAGCTGAGTACTAAGTAATTTTTTTTCAAACCCTACTGGAAGGAAAGGTAAACAATGATTAGTGAAAACACAAAAATATACTAAACCTAAGTCACCTAACCCTGAAAGTCAGATTAAGATCTACATCTATTATATGTCAACAACATGAAGTTTAGTTTCCATATTGTAAATGTAAATAGGTGGTGATGTTGTTGTTTGCCAATTAGAAAGATTTAAAAGCAGGAGATCAAAGAGTAAAAAACTAATGTCTTAAATCAGTATCTCTGATAGAACATAAAAATGGCTTTCACTTACACACAGGTATATATACAATGTGAAAAAGACATACACACAGAGTGTTACATACTTTTATAGAAACCATACTGTTCCTGGCAAAGTTGACAAGTTTTAACCTGCCTTAAAAATTACTATTCACTGCCTTTATCCCACTCTAATTTTATTTAGTGTTACTCTTTTAGACACCCTACAAAAACAGCACCGGAGCAAATTCTTGTACATTTATTTCAATATCCTGCCTACTTTTAAGAGCGGAAGAGTCAAACACAGCAGGGGAAAAAACGTGACGTGCACCACCTTGATCCAAAATACAGCTACTCGTCCTCTCATTTTAGGACTAACCATTTGTCTCTATGCAGAGGTTAAAAAAGAAACCTACAAACTACAGTCCACTTGTAAAAAAGCACGGTATCAGTGGGAGTTGGTTATTTATCAGAGGGAAAACAAATCACGCTCGCCTTGCCCAAAGAGCATTCTCATTAAAATTAAAAGATCAGCATGGTGACAACTTCACAGCAACTGACAAAGGCAATGGACTGCACAGCCTTCAGCTCCTGGACGACTTTATGTTTGCTGAATCCGTAAAAAGGACGAGTCCACCGAGGTATTTGTGGCAACGTCGTTTGTGCGCGCGCGAGAGCGTTTCAAAGAAAACCAAACATGGTGAAAAGCCAATCTCAACTCCAAGTTACCAAAAACAGCCAACAGACACCTCCGGGTGTGAGACCGAACAAGAATCCGAGCTATCCGAAAGCGCACTTCTGCGGCGGAGGCCTTCCACCTCCTGGAAAACTCCACAGGCTTCCCTGCGGTGCTGAAGGCGGCAGAGCCGAGTGGAGCTGGGAGTTCCGACGACGAGGACCTCTCCGCGCTGGGACTCGCAGCGGACACAGCCCGCAGAGGCACGCTGAGCCCCGGCGAGCGCAAAACCCGGGACCACCTCCCTCCCGCCCCCCGAGACACTGGGCCCAAGTCGAGGGGTGGGGGGGAAGAACGGGCCCGGCCGGGGCAGGGCAGGGCAGGGCAGGGCAGGGCTGGATCCAGGAAGAGGACAGCGCGCAGCCCGAGCAGCCGGGGAGAAAACAGCCCCCGGGAACAGACAATGAGCCACCGCCCCAGAAGCCGCGGCCCCGGCTTGCAGGTGGCCTCGCGCCGGGCAGGTCTGCCGTCCCGGGCCGCTCCGCCTGGCAGGCCGCGGAGCCCGCTGGAGGAGGAAGGAGAGGAGGGCGGCGCCGGCCCGCGTCCCCCGCCGGGCTCACACTTACCACTGGCGAGGAAACGTCCCCGCCCCAGCGAGGCGCCTCCGTCCGAGCTCCGGACAGGCAGAGGAGCCGCCTCGGGCGAGCGCGCGGCGCAAGGGGACCGGAAGAGGGGCCGCGCCGGAGCGCAGCCGCGGCTACCACAGGAATAGGAGGCAGCGACAGCCCCGCGGGCCAGCTAGGGGAGGGCAGAAGCCTTCGGCAATGGCGACCGTCCGGGCCGGAGGGGAAGCGGAACAACCGCCGCCGCCGCGCGTGGCCACAACCCTGGGGGAGGGCAGCGGCGGCGAGCGGGGGCGAGACCAGAACAAAGCCCCGCCTCTCCCACGGCCGAGGCTCCCTGGGGCGGGTCCGCGCACCACCTCCTGAGGGGCGGGCTCGCGGGGGGCTGCTGGGAGTTGTAGTTTAACGATGGGCACTGCTTTTCGCGATAGTAGCTTTCTTCTGGGGGTAGATTTGCATGGACAATCATTCATTGATTTCGGCACTGTGCACTCTCCTTGTCTATTGATGGCAATTGCTGACAGGATAGGTAGTAAATGCACAAATCTGCTTCAAGACCTTTGTCTCTGGGAATTCATTCTCCATTTTGCTTTGTACATACAAATTCTTAATATATTTGGCTGCCAAATTAAGAACCACAAATAAAAATTCTGCAGTTTATCCTCGGAGGAGCTCATCAATGTGTTCAGTTATTCTACAAATATTTGAGTAGCTACTGTGTGCAGGATACCACAAGGTAACAGGGAAACAAGAGTGGACATGGTTTTTCACACCTTGGAGAAATTTACAAATATCCAAACAGAAAAATCACAGGACTGCTTATCTGGTATGAAGAAAAACCTGAGTGGGCAGAGAAGGCCTCTTGGAGGAGGCATTTAAACTGAAAACAGAGAAGTACCCAGAGGAAAGCATTATAGAAAGGAAGGGAAAAGGAGGTTTTGCTGTGGTCAAGAATGCCTGTGTAGCTGGAGCTTAATGAAAGATGGGGATACTATTAGAAAACACTGGAGTAGAGACAGACAGGGTGACCCATGCCTGCAATTTCAGTACTCAGAAGACAGAAACAGGAGAATTGTGAGTTCCAGACTAAAATGAGTTACATAGTAAGACCCTGCCTCAAAAATAAATAAGTAAACAAAACACACTAGAATAAACAAGATTACATCACAAAGGATCTTAAACACTCAACCCAAAGAGAAGAAGAAAACCAGAGTGGTAAGCAGGGCAATGATGGTGAGAGTAGCATAGGAGATGAGAGACCAAAGACAAGGCCTTGGTCCGGTCATGGGGCCTGAACTCTGGGTCTGGGCGTTGTCCCTCAGCTCTTCAGCTCAAGGCTAGCGCTCTACCACTTGAGCCACAGCGCCACTTCTGGCTTTTTCTGCTTACCACAGCGCCACTTCTGGCTTTTTCTGCTTATGTGGTGCTGAGGAATCGAACCGAGGGCCTCAGGCATGCAAGGCAAGCGCTCTACCACTAAGCCACCTTCCCAGCCCGGAGTACCACTCTTCAATGACATAAAAAATTTCAAGGTATCAAGAGAAAATAACTAAGTGTACACATTAACCAGGATGTTCAGCTTCAGAAATTCTAGTGGAATAAAATGCTATGCTTAAAAAAAAAAAAAGTGGTAGGCGCTGGTGGCTCATATCTGTAATCCTAGCTACTCAGGAGGCTGAGATCTGACGATCCAAGTTCAAAGACAACCCAGGCAGGAAAGTCCATGAGACTCTTATCTCCAATAAACTACTCAGAAAACTGGAAGTGGTGCTGTGGCTCAAGTGGTAGAGCGCTCACCTTGAGCTGAAGAGCTGAGGGACAGCGCCCAGACCCAGAGTTTAGGCCCCATGACCAACCGACAAAAAAAAAAAAAGTGTACACACTAAATTATCAACCAGATGAATAAGATATGAAATAAAGTTATCAAACAAAAAGAAACAAGAGAGACCTGAAAACAACTCCTTTAAAGAATAATTCAGGCCTGAGGCCCTGGGTTCGATTCCTCAGCACCACATAAGCAAAAAGAAAAAAGCCAGAAGTGTCTCTGTGACTCAAGTGGTAGAGCACTAACCTTGAGCTGAAGAGCTGAGGGACAACGCCCAGGCCCAGAGTTCAGGCTCCACGACCAGACCCCCCAAAAAAAAAGAATAATGCAGGAAGAAAGTGATCTCAGAAGATGAGATCAATAGCTGCAATGAAAAATGATCAGTACCAGCTATTCTACCACTATTAGAATGATTCTCAAGAGCACACCTAGGCCATCTTACTATTCTCTTGTAGCCTGTAGCCTACCAAATCCTATATTCAACTACCTGCTAGTAAAATACTTTGTCAGTTGGAAGTGGTCACTTCAGCCTAATAATTTTCGTGTCATTATCATTCAATATCCATTTTTGAAATGTACATGTATAACTAATGAATACCAGGAATATTCATTAAAGCTGCAATAGATCTTTCTAGTTCCTAAACCATGTACCATTCTATAAAAGATCTAGCTAAAAAAATTTAAGTACTTAAATGGACACACACACACACACACACACACACACACACACACACACACACACACACACACACACACACACACACACACCTCTGCTACCCCCTGTTACCCTTAGTTGAGATCAGCTGTTAATCTGTTCTTTGTATCCAAAAGAACCCAGCATACTTTAAGAAAAATAAGCCACAAATGTAGAACAAATAATAGAGCACAATGAACAAGACAACAGTATCCTTTCCTGGACCTTAAAAAGAAAGGTTGCCAGGAGCTGGTGGCTCACAACTGTAATCCTAGCTATACCCAGGAGGCTGAGATTTGAGGATCATGGTTCTTATATTCAATTAACCACCAGAAAAGCAGAAGTGGAGCTGTGTATCATAACCCCCCCCCAAAAAAAGGTCAGAATTATAAAGTGTTTGTTCAATAAGTACCCAAGGATCCAAGGGAAGACAAGAGAAACAGCCAAAAACAGTATGTTGTTATATCAAAATGTCATTTGCCATTACTGACCAGGCAAGAAGAGTCATATCAAAGTTTTCTTCATGAACATTTATATTTTTATTATACTTTTGATAGCTATACATATACATGTAAGTAAGTGAACCAGGTTCTTAGCCACAATCTTAAATATCCACTTACAAATGGGTTTAAATACTTAGAAATCCATTCTGAAGACTAAAAGTCTTACATATACATACTGATATCCATTCTTGAGAAGTGAACCGATGCTATGGCTCCACCATCTGCGGATGTTACTGAATTTTTACAAATACATAATCCCACTTCAATGCTATATTATTAATCCTATCATGAAAGAAATGCTTGAAAAATATAGAATTCTTTCGTAAACCAAAACATGAAACAGGTATGTAACTAAACTGAGTTAAAATTTTAGTCACTTTAAACATTTCTGGCTTTATGACATTGGGTTACCTTTTCTAATATTTAAGTCATAAACACACTTACAAAAAGAAGTGTAAGCAGGGCACCAGTGGCTCCCACCCATAATCGTAGCTACTCAGGAAGCTGAGATCTGAGGATTGTGGTTTGAAGCCAGCCCAGGCAGAAAAGTCCATGAGACTTTTTATCTCCAATAAACCACTCAGAAAAAGCCTGAAGTGGCACTGTGGCTCAAGTGGTAGAGTGGTAGCCTTGAGCACAAAAAGGTACAAGGACATCACCCAACTCCAAGTTAAAGCCCCAGGACCAAAAAAAAAAAAAAAAAAAGTGTATGATGCCACACATCAAATTATGATTTATTCTCATAAAACCCCAAAATATTTAGGAAAAATTAGTAATATTAAACAGAAACACTGATCACCTCCTGTGACACTACATAAAACAATGTTAACAATTTGGCATCTCTTTTTCAGCCTTGTTCTAATTTTTTTTTTTTAATGTTTTTTGGGTCTGGTTGTGGGCCTGAACTCTGGGCCTGGGTGCTGTCCCTCAGCTCTTCAGCTCAAGGCTAGCGCTTTACCACTTGAGCCACAGCTCCACTTCTGGCTTTTTTCCTTTTATTGCTTATGTGGTGCTGGGGAATTGAACACAGGGCCTCATGCATTCAAGGCAAGCGCTCTACCACTGAGCCACCTTCCCAGCCCTTGTTCTAATTTTTTTAATAGCCTAATAAGCCTATGGTATTTTCTTTTTTTTTCTTTCTTTTTTTTTTTTTTTGTTGTTGGTTGAGGGGGTCTGAACTCTGGGCCTGGGCATTACCCCTCAGCTCTTCAGCTCAGGCTAGCACTCTACCACTTGAGCCACAGCATCACTTCCGGCTTTTTTTTTTGCTTATGTGGTGCTGAGAAAATGAACCCAGGGCCCCATGCATGCAAAGCAAGCACTCTGCCACTAAGCCACCTTACCAGCCCTAGTTTATTTTTTTATTTCCCCCCAAATATATAACAGTAGACAAATCCCTTTGTCTAAGGAGAAAAAAAATCACTTGGAGATTCCTTTTTTGTTGTTGTTGTTGTTAATTTCACAGAACACTTCTTAAGAATGGCAACTTGAAGCTGGATATCAGCAGCTCATGCCTGTAATCCTAGCTGTTCAGGAAGCTGAGATCTGAGAACTGTAGTTTATAACTAGGCTGGGCAAAAAAGCCTGGGAGACTCTTATCTCCATTTAACTACCAAAAAGCCGGAAGTGAAGCTGTGGCTCAGGTACATAGCACTAGCCATGCTCAAAACAAGCTTAGAGCCAGCACAAGAGCCCTGAATTCAAGCCCCAGGGCTGTACACACACGCACAAGCACACGTACACGCACGCACGCGCACGCGCGCGCGCGCACACACACACACACACACACACAATGACAACTTGAATTGTCTCCCCAACAAACTCAGTAGAAAATCAGTGAATCTTAGTTTCTTAGTTTTCAGTTTCATTAAACCTCCAGCCAATTTATACATGCAAAAGAAATATTTTAGGGCTGGGAAGGTGGCTCAGTGGTAGAGTGCTTGCCTTGCATGCCTGAGGCCCTGGGTTCGATTCCTCAGCACTACATAAGCAAAAAGAAAAAAGCCAGAAGTGGCGCTGTGGCTCAAGTGGTAGAGTGCTAGCCTTGAGCTGAAAAGCTGAGTGACAGCGTCCAGGCCGAGAGTTCAGGCCCCACGACCGGACCCAAAAAAGAAATATTTTAAAAGGTAACAGGAAAAAAAAAATTTTTTTCCTTGACATTCTGAACTTTAGAAGTCTCATAAAACTAAGATTCAAATTAAACCTGATTTCCATCTAAATTAATTTTTTCTTTTTCTTGAGAGGAAAGTACTGTGGATTGAAGTCAGGGCTTCATACATGCTAGGTAAGTATCAACCACTTGAGCTAGATAACCCATTTTATTTTTATAAGGATTTTCTCCATTTTTAGCTTAAATGGAAAGGTTCATATTTATAAAGTGAGAATAATTTGTCACCAATTATAATGAACTGATTTTTTCTATCTTATTTTCTATCTTATCTTTTCTAAGTTTTTTCCAAGATAGTCACTTCTAACAATAAATGTTAATGCAGCCAAATTAAGCCTTTGCTATAGGCCCTTGATGACTAAACATTTTCACAGGTTTACACAAAAGCACTAAATTTTGGAATTGGCTTAGAGTGACTTAAAATTTCCTCTGGCAAGCCGGGCGCAGGTGGCTCACGCCTGTAATCCTAGCTACTCAGGAGGCTGAGATCTGAGGATCGTGGTTCAAAGCCAGCCCGGGCAGGAGAGACCGTGAGACTCCTATCTCCAATAAACCACCAGAAAACCGGAAGTGGCGCTGTAGCTCAAGTGGTACAGCGCTCGCCTTGAGCTGAAGAGCTGCGGGACAGCGCCCAGGCCCAGAGTTCAAGCCCCACTACCGACAAAAAAAAAAAAAATTTCCTCTGGCAACTTTAACTATAAATGAAAATAAAACACAAAAGTTATGAATTTTAGAAGAACATTTCTAAACACAAATAAGTTATTTAGGATTACAGAAAACATTTAACTGTAAAAAACTTATATGAAAAAGTGGCCATATTTGAAAACAGCAAGAAGGATTAAAATAGAACACAGGATAGTAATGAGCAGAGTCACAGAGCATACTAACGAGGTATGTATAGTCAGTCCTACTGGAACATGTAAGGTTACATTCTTGAGGATCTGTGGAGAGAAGAGTGAGAATTAGAGACATTTAAAATGCTACATCTTGGGCTGGGAAGGTGGCTCAGTGGTAGAGCACTTGCCTTGCACGCATCAGGCCCTGGGTTCGATTCCTCAGCACCACATAAGTAAAATGCTACATCTTACATTAAGATCACTATTTCTTGTGTGTGTGTGTGGACCTAAGCTTTGTAAGCATTTTTGCTCAAGGCTAGTGTTCTATCACTTGAGCCACAGTTCTTTTTGGCTCAAGGATAGTGCCTAGGCCCTGAGTTCAAGCACCACAACTGATTTTTTAAAAATACTATTCATTTGTATTTAAAAAAAAAAATCAAGCCAGACATCAGTGGCTCACATCTGTAATCCTAGCTACTCAAAAGGCTAAGATCTGAGGGTCACTGTTCTAAGCCAGTCTGGGCAGAAAAGTCCTTCTGAGACTCTTATCTCCAATTAATCACTCAAAAACTGGAAGGGGAGCTATTGCTCAAAATGGTAGAGTACTAAGCCTTGAACAAAAAGAGCTTGGGCAGCATCCAGGCCTTGAGTTCAAGTTTCATGACTGACAAAGAAAAAAAAAATCACATTCTTCCAAATGTATTTTAAGAGTTTGAAAACTATTCAGGTACACTATTCAGATACCACATGGCAGTGACAGTGTGCTCAAAAGCAATTCTAAGCTGTCTTAAATGTTGGCACACTCACCTATTTTCAACTGTCAGTTCTCTGATATGTACAGCATACCACACTATAAGATGTGGCTTTTCTGAGCTACCTGGTAGAAAGACTTCTAGCAACAAAGAAAGCACTTCAGATCCAAATATGCACAATAAATAAATAACGCCACATGGTTATCTGACATTTATGGTATTTGATAAGTTTAAATATAATGAAAGTATACAAAAGATTTCTAAATGAGAAGGCACTAAAAACACAGAATATTAGCTTACCGACTTATACTTCATACTGTTCCACTGGCAGATATCCTTACTCTTGAAAGCACAAGGAGCTGCCACTTTGGATTGTGCCCAGCATTTCAAAACCGGAAATTCTGAGAAAAGTGGTAGAACAAGATATCAGAAAACTTTAGTTTGGGGCTGGGAAGGTGGCTCAGTGGTAGAGCGCTTGCCTTGCATGCCTGAGGCCCTGCGTTCAATTCCTCAGCACCACATAAGCAAAAAGAAAAAAGCC